AGCCTTAAGCACACTGATGCTTTGATATAAGCGTCTGCAATGCTCTCAGAAACCCCGGCCTGCGCGGATCTTCAACGAGAAGAGCTGTGATCTTGCCTCACATGTAGTTGCTCACAAATCAAATCAGAGCTCTTTGTCTACACATGTTTAAGTTTGATTCCAGCTCACTCAGATGAGCGACGAGTATCTCAACATCATACATTCGTTTTCGTTTGAAATTTTTATGCATTCGCTACTGTCCCGAGCTCCTGACGAGCATCCACTCCGCAATCCCATGAAGGAAAATAACACCACGTATGCTTCCAGGACGCGAAAACATATACGCTGCACCGACAAGATTTCTACATCAAGCTCGAATCAAGTTGCAAAGTCGAAGAAAAATGAAAACAAGCTCAGCAACGCAAATTCACATGCCAAGCAACCGGGTCCCGATCTAACATGGTACTGTGTCGAAAGAACTTCTATGTAGCTTGATGTAGCTACTGCGAGCGCCACACCTGCCACGCAGATCAAGTCTCAGGGCAACCCATGCTGATGGTCTATGAAGGTGGTGAAAGCGCGACGCCTGCCACACAGATCAAGTCTCAGGTACTCGAATCCCTTGCGCCTGTCACGCAAAAGCCGCGGCGTCACATCAGGGACCCCTCCCTCCCCAAGCTTCCGCAGACCTCTATCAAGGTACTGAAAGTGCCACGCCTGCCACACAGATCAAGTCTCAGGTACTCAAATCCCTTGTGCCTGTCACGCAAAAGCCGCGGCGTCACATCAGGGACCCCCCCGTGCCCAAGCTTCCGCAGACCTCTATCAAGGTACTGAAAGTGCCACGCCTGCCACACAGATCAAGTCTCAGGTACTCGAATCCCTTGCACGTGTCACGCAAAAGCCGCGGCGTCACATCAGGGACCCCTCCGTCCCCAAGGTTGCGCAGACCTCTATCAAGGTAGTGAAAGTGCCACGCCTGCCACACAGATCAAGTCTCAGGTACTCAAATCCCTTGTGCCTGTCACGCAAAAGCCGCGGCGTCACATCAGGGACCCCTCCGTCCCCAAGGTTGCGCAAACCTCTATCAAGGTACTGAAAGTGCCACGCCTGCCTCACAGATCGAGTCTCAGGTACTCGAATCCCTTGCACCTGTCGAGTCTCAGGTACTCGAATCCCTTTCCTGTCACGCAAAAGCCGCGGCGTCACATCAGGGACCCCCCCGTGCCCAAGCTTCCGCAGACCTCTATCAAGGTACTGAAAGTGCCACGCCTGCCACACAGATCAAGTCTCAGGTACTCGAATCCCTTGCACGTGTCACGCAAAAGCCGCGGCGTCACATCAGGGACCCCTCCGTCCCCAAGGTTGCGCAGACCTCTATCAAGGTAGTGAAAGTGCCACGCCTGCCACACAGATCAAGTCTCAGGTACTCAAATCCCTTGTGCCTGTCACGCAAAAGCCGCGGCGTCACATCAGGGACCCCTCCGTCCCCAAGGTTGCGCAAACCTCTATCAAGGTACTGAAAGTGCCACGCCTGCCTCACAGATCGAGTCTCAGGTACTCGAATCCCTTGCACCTGTCACGCAAAAGCCGCGGCGTCACATCAGGGACCCCTCCGTCCCCAAGGTTGCGCAGACCTCTATCAAGGTACTGAAAGTGCCACGCCTGCCACACAGATCGAGTCTCAGGTACTCGAATCCCTTTCCTGTCACGCAAAAGCCGCGGCGTCACATCAGGGACCCCCCCGTGCCCAAGCTTCCGCAGACCTCTATCAAGGTACTGAAAGTGCCACGCCTGCCACACAGATCAAGTCTCAGGTGCTCGAATCCCTTGCGCCTGTCACGCAAAAGCCGCGGCGTCACATCAGGGACCCCTCCCTCCCCAAGCTTCCGCAGACCTCTATCAAGGTACTGAAAGTGCCACGCCTGCCACACAGATCGAGTCTCAGGTACTCCGCAAAAGCCGCGGCGTCACATCAGGGACCCCTCCGTCCCCAAGCTTCCGCAGACCTCTATCAAGGTACTGAAAGTGCCACGCCTGCCACACAGATCAAGTCTCAGGTACTCGAATCCCTTGCACCTGTCACGCAAAAGCCACGGCGTCACATCAGGGACCCCTCCGTCCCCAAGCTTCCGCAGACCTCTATCAAGGTACTGAAAGTGCCACGCCTGCCACACAGATCGAGTCTCAAGTACTCACATCCCTTGTGTTGTGTGTTGTCTGTTGATGTCTTGTCTGTTGATGTCTTGTGTGTTGATGCACAGTGTATGATTTCACACATTGTGTTGTGTGTTGTCTGTTGATGTGTTGTGTGTTGCTGATGTGTTGTATGTGTGGTGTGTTTGTGTCTTGTGATGATGTCTTGTGTGTTGTGATGATGTGTTGCATGTGTGGTGTGTTTATGTCTTCTGCTGATGTTTGTGCGTCGATGATGATGTTTGTGTGTGGATGATGATGATTGAGTGTTAACGCTGAGAATGATGATGATGATGATGAGGAGAGGAGGACGAGGAGAGGCACAACACAATGTGGGGAACAAACTTCTAGAGGCTATGGTTTGTGGCCGCCTTCTGAAAAAATAGTCTAGCTAAATAGACCCAGCCTTTCAAAATAAATAGCGGGGGCCACAAACCCAGCTCGCCAAATAACGCCGCAATGCCAAATAGCTCCCGCTGAAAGAACCAAAAACACCCACGCGTTACGCTTTCTGGCGGTGATCGATAGTTCAGAAAGATCGGACGGGGAAGATGGCAGGACCCCAACCCTGCTGTGAACATGATGAAACTAAGTTACAATACAGACCGGTCGCTTGTCTGAGTTAGGATACTAATAAGTGCTATAAAACCGTTTTAGCAATTACAAGACACTTAGAACAATTTTTGCGTCAAGACTATCCCCGTGCGGCGCTACCCTTAGGCATTGGACATTGGATTTCATGTAAGGGAACTGAAAACCCGGCTTCAACCCTAAACTTTGAGTCTGATAAAAACAAAAATTAAATCATGCATTGAGGTTACAAGAAAGAAAAAGGTTTGGGGCCAAGCCTATTTTTTTCAGACAGGCTTGTCGCGAGCGCCGAAGCTATCAGTAGTTCATCACATAGGCTTGTCTGGGTAGGGCTTAGGCAACTTATTTTAAATCCCTGTTTTTTTTTTTAATCCTTCTGTCTTTTGGGGGGATAATGGCATCCTACTATCGCAAAAGGAGCCTTCTTTTCCAGAAGGCATCCTGGCTGACGCTAGGCTCACACGACGACATAAATAATTATTAGGAGCCAGCTGCCTTGCATCACTGGCATCCTGACTGCTGCTAGGCTACACTGGTTACACCACATAAATATTATTAATTAGGAGCCAGCTGCCTATTATTAAGTTTGCATCATCATGCTGCTGGTTTAAGGAGCTAGCTGCCTAATAGCTAAAATATAAAAACAATATTTTGTTATTGTCGGCAAAGTTAATGTTAAGGCATCCTATACAACGACGGCGGGCACATTTCGTTTTCCCCTCAAAGCCAACAAATTACCTGGCAAGTGAGTCAAAACGGTAGTAGGCAAGCCTAACATCGGACGGGCGGCTGCACAACTCATCAGGACATGTCTGCCCAAGATCGTTTATAGGAGGCTTCCTGTCTGGAGTCACTGGCGGCGGAGAGGCGCTGGCTGCCACTGCTGCTGGTCGTCTGATACCGACTGGAGAAGGTGGTGCTGCAGCAGGACGCTTCTGCTTGGCAGGCGTGTGGACGGGCTTGGGCATCACATTTTCTTGGCGCGCGACATCAGTGAGCTTGAGGGCAATCATTGGCTGGTCACTGTCAGGCTTCATCTTGAGTAGCTTCATATACAAGTCCTTTGGCTTGAAATCAAATTCAAGGTGAATAGATTAATTAATATTAGACCATCTCAGTAGAGAAGTAACGGGTGGTGAGATACGTGACAAAACAATCTAATCAATTAATATTAACCAAGGTGCTGCGACCTCTTTCACTCCCTCGCCGGCAAAATCCAAGCGCGGAATAAAGAGCTGGGGCTCGATATTCTCCAGCATGGCTGTCACTGACTCAAATTTCCGGACTTCTGCCACGGTTGCTGAAACCCTTTCTGCCGTGTACCAGTGAAAAGAGACTCGGTCGCCTGCTTTCAGATGAAAGAGCCTGCCCTTCCCAGTGAGATGCCGTGCCTCCCAAGACTTCTCACCTGTGGCAATTGCAATGGCATATTCTCGCTTCAATGACAGAGTCAGATCCACAGGCGGAACAGCCATGGCGCGAATTTCACTCACTATGTCTTGACAACCAAATGCCTGAAGCAAATCAAAAAGAGTGAACGATTTGAAAATAAGAGCCGGCAAGCTATCCGACAGGAGCAATGCTGCGTAGCAATGCTACCTCGTTTTAAAAGAATTGAGGTTAGTACACTGTCATGAATGGGATTAATTTCGAATGATTGCCTCCCAGTGCCAGCCTGAGTTAGTCTTAGTATCTACACTTAAGTCTGCGTCTATACTGACAGATGAAAGATATATCGACTTGCGCAATGATGGCAAGCTGCGGGGATTTTTCTGTCAGAGCTGATTGACACTGAAATTCGACGGCATCCAGGTCAAGCTGGCTAGTACCAAGATAATTGCGCCGCTCAGATGTCATTTGCCCAAGGACGGCAAAGCCCCAGCAGAATTTGATGTCCTTCACACATCCAGGCTCACTCGCCGGTGCGAAGGGCTGACGGCGCCGTTGTCGCCAGCATCATAAGCGGACGCACCTGGACAGTTGGACGCCGCAATCAGGTGCAGCCGACGATGATAGAGACGACGAGGTGTCAATGAAAAACTATTAGAAACTATGACATTATGGCTTGAACCAGACAGTCTTGAGTCGGCGCAGGGGCGAGCTGGCTAAGAAGTCCCACGTCTTTATTTACTATATGACCCGCAGGAAGGCGGGGAAGCCTCTGCTCAGCCAAGGCTGCGGCGGCCGCCCTCAGGAACAAGAAAGGCTCCCATGCCAACCACCTCGAGAAATTCATGGCCACTGTCCTGGGACGCCATGGACCCCAATGGGATGATTTGGCTGAAGGAGACATCTACATGATCAATGATTCCGGCCGTCCTGGCAACAGACCTTGCTTCCTGAACGCCATGGTGGGCAGCAATGGGAAGGTCATTAACTCTAAGAGCTCCAAGACGATCTACCTGCACATCTCCGAGGAGAGTTTGACTAAGCGTCTAGACAGGTTCCGTGGCCATTCTCTTGGCAGTGTTCAGCAGCTTCAAGGCCTGCACACGTTCACGGCCAAGGTCATGAGACTCAACCAGCACAGTAAGGATGCTTGTGAGGGCAGCAATCGCGGCAACGTGGTCGGCCCTCTCGCCATGGATGATTATGACAATGGCGACCTCACTTGGCGCGTCATCGTCCAGGAGAAGTTCGAGATTCTTGGTCGACTTGGCGCCAGAATTCCTGTCGGAGGCATGCTTAGTTTTTTTTTCGCTTCGCTGAATTTATTAATGAATGATTTATTAAAACCCCCAGGCATTGTTAATCGTCCGCAGGGCAACCTGAAGATGACGAAGCGGCAGTCATCGACGGCGATGACCTGGCGGAGATCGCCGCGGCTGAGGAGAGTGAGCAGGACGATAAAGCCAAGACCCGTGATCGATATGCCAAGGAGCCCATGCTTTTCCATTGCCTCCCCATGGCTTTCTACCGGGAGATGCTCTCATCAGTGGACGCAGTCGCAGCCATCAGCCTAGCCGGCGAAGGCAAGCTGGCACTTCAGCGCATTTTGCGTCGCATCCCCTATACGGAGAAGCACAAGGAATGCCTCATTGACTTGCTTGCTGCCCGCATATTCAAACTCATGAGAAGCAGTTCTGGTGGCAAATTGTACAAGCCAGAGCTTGCTGAATTATGGTCCCAGCTTGAGACTGGCGAAAGCACAGTGAAACTGCCGACACCGAAAGCCAAGTTGAAACCAGACGGAAAAGCCAAGTCCAATGCCGCGCCGCAGGCAATCAGTGGCGGGAGTGGCCCTCAGGGAGACGGCAGCGCTGGAGGCAACGCCGCCGCTGATCTCATGGAGCAGGTGAAGGCATTGGCCGCGCAGGCTGTGGAGGGTGCAGCACACGCCTGACGGCTTAGCTTAGAGCGCCGGCGCGCCCGGCCAGTTTTGATTTGTTTAGATTGCGACGGTTCTTTGCCCCACACATCAGGCGATTTTACAACCAGACTCAGACTCAGCGCCGTGCATCATTGAGAGAGGTTGTGATAAATTAACATCTGCTGCTTGTCAGTCAGGATGCCGGTCACTGACCAGGGCTCCTAGTTCAATTATTCAATTTTATTTTTAGGAAGCCAGTCGGTGGCTCCTCCTTCATTGAATTGTCATCCTGGTTAAACAATTTTCCAACGGCATATTTGACCGCCGATGCATGATGCAGAGCATCACGGCTCAATTTTTTCAATCAACAACGATGATGATTTGATTCACTAAACTGCTACAGCAATGACAAGTCGCCGGTTGAAGGTAGGCTCAGACTGCACCGGCCTTAATGGCATGGCCTTGGCCCTGGAAAGCTTGAATTTGCCCTTTGAGGAAGTCTTTGCATCTGAAATCGACGCTCCTGCCAGGGCTTTGTTGGAAAGAAATTTTACGATCGGAAGGATCTTTCCGGATATAAAAGAAAGACTTCATTCTCAAAGCCCCAAGGGTTTATATAGACCTTTATTGCGCAGGTTTTCCATGCCAGCCTTATAGTTCCATGGGTCGACGCCAAGGTCTTAGCAGTGAAGATGGCAATGTCGGCTTGCATGTATTGATGTACATCCGCCATGGATTGCCTAAAGCCTTCCTCTTAGAGAATGTGGCACAGTTGGGAAGTGCCGTGCGGTTCAGAGAGACTTTTGAGCTCATTATGAACTTTTTGACAGGCATCCGCGGCTCTGATGGCCAACCGTATTACGACTTGCATTACAAGATTTTGAACAGCAAGGATTATGGGACACCACAGAACCGCAACAGAATTTATATTGTTGGTTTGAGAGGCTCTCGTCATCCTTTTCTCTGGCCCGAGACTGAAACTATGCCGCGACTTAGTCTGATGCTTGATGGTGACCCACCAGCAAATCCACCGCAGCTGCCGACTACACTGACAGGCCTCAGAAATTACTTGAAGTGCGCGCAAGTTTTGCGGGAGCAGGGCCTATCTTTGAATGCTGAAGCAATTGGTGATTTTGGAAGTGGCTTCAGTGGTCCTGGAAATGTAGCCATAGGATACAGTCCATGCTTGACAAAAAGCAGGAGCGAACAAAATGGATATTATTGCTTTTCCAAGAGAAGATTCTTGACGTTGTCAGAATATTTTCGGCTTCAAGGTATTCCACCCGGCCGTCTGTCATTGCCAGTCGGCGTCACAGAGGCAGCTGCTCGCAGCATGGTCGGCAATTCGTTCACTGTGTCCGTCGTAGCAAAATTAATTGACAGAATGTTGTATTCCATTTCTTTGACCCATCATCCTGTGACTTGTGCCCCAGGGTCTGGCTCATGCGGGCAACGGTGGCCCAACCAAGTCTCAGGCAATGTCAGTGGACGCAGAAAGCGGCCCAGACCATCTGATTAACAGTTTAATTGATCAGTAGGCGATGCCAATGCCGATAAAAAATCGGCTGCTGTCTTGCTGAAAAACAGGGATTTTAGTCGCATTCCTCGCACCGTCAGTGCAGCCTCGGCAGAGTTGAAAGCCCAGTCATTTGAATTCGGCATATTCATATATGAGCTCAATTGAATGAATTGTCCTCTTTGTCTTTGGTGCTTGGCTGTCATTCACCCGCTTCATCCATTGTCTCGACAGCCAATGTCACATAGCTTGCGACCAGGGTCTTTGCCTCATTCTCACACCGCTTCAGCAAACGACGCTGCTCTTCGCCTAGGCTCATTGCCTTACCTGACGTCAGGACAGGATCGTTCGCCAGTGACTCAGTGTTGATGACGACCGGCGCACTGACTTCCTCCACAGTATCCTCAATAATCTCTTCAGGCACCTTGGCTGCTTCGCGGACCTCCTCCGGCAAGTCTTTCAATGGTGAGCACTGTAGCTGTGCGCCAAGACTCTTCTTGTTTCGCAGGGCTTGACTAAAGACTTCGTCATACTCGGCTGAGAAGACGCAGGCCTCCATCATCCGGACCATGATATCACAGGCATCAGTCCATTCCTGCACACTGGCAGCTTGGAAGCTACCAGCCACTGGCTTCTTGGACCAGGAGCACCCAATATGCTTGCGGAACAATGCCACTGACGCTGTCATCTCCTGGATCTTTTGCGCCACCACAGGCATGAATAATTCATGCGACATCCGCACCAGTTCTTGGAGAAGCTCTCCTTTCAACAGCACAATGTCAAGCAAACCTTTGGGGGCTCCTCCGCCACTTGACGTCTTGCCAGCCAACATTCTCAGGCTCATGTCAGAATAAGTCAGCCCACCGAGCTTGTAGATGTCAATGATGTAAGTTACCATCCAAGTCATCCTCTCCACACTGATGGCCTGGTTGCGGCGGGAAGGGGCTGTCACATGATGATAATAATGTTAATTAATTAAATATATTAAATTTATGCGACCAGACCGGCACAGAGGAGCTCAAGGCATCCTTCTTACAAGCTGCAAGCTGCAAGTGTTGACTGCACACATGGTCCTTCCTTCCTTCCTTCCTTCCTTCCTTCTTTCCTTCCTTCCTTCCCTTCGTTCCCCCCTTGCATCCTTCCCTCCTTCCCTCCTTCCCTCCTTTCCTCCTTCCCTCCTTTCCTCCTTCCCTCCTTTCCTCCTTCCCTCCTTTCCTCCTTCCCTCCTTTCCTCCTTCCCTCCTTCCCTCCTTCCTTCCTTCCCTCCTTTCCTCCTTCCCTCCTTTCCTCCTTCCCTCCTTTCTTCCTTCCTTCCTTTCGTCCTTCCCTCCTTTCCTCCTTCCCTCCTTCCCTCCTTATTTCCTTCCTTCCTTCCTTCCTTCTTTCCTGCCTGCTTGCCTGCCTGCCTTCCTGCCTTCCTTCCTTCCTTCCTTCCTTCCCTCCTTCCCTCCTTCCTTCCTTCCCTCCTTCCCTCCTTCCCTCCTTCCCTCCTTCCCTCCTTCCTTCCTTCCTTCCGTCCTTCCGTCCTTCCGTCCGTCCTTCCTTCCTTCCTTCCTTCCTTCCTTCCTTCCTTCCTTCCTTCCTTCCTTCCTTCCTTCCTTCCTTCCTTCTTCGCACCTTCCTTCCACCAGAAAACGGGAAAAAAAACCCGAAAAAAATCCCAAAAAATAGCCATCCTTTTTGAATGTAGACAAAATTTTGATGGCGTTGCCTGCTGGCACTGTGCCCAATTCAGGCGGGGCAGAGCTTATAAGACGTTGCATGTCTGGGCGAATTTCAATTTTGTTTTGCGAAGCATGCATTTGAAGATCCAATGCGTGGTTGCCACTGCAGACATTTTAGGTATGAAGTTTTGATTTGCTATAGGCCGTAATGGGGCCAAAAATTGCAGCCAAAGCCATGCCACGAAATTCGGCCTCCTCGGCCTCCAGCTCTCGTCCGCCGAAGCCTGAAGACCAATCGGTTTGGGACCGCATGGGCATTCCTAAGCCGCCTGACCCCCGCAAGCCTCCACCACGAGCGGTAAGTCACAATGATTCTTGTCTGAATTTTCTGCTTTTATTTTAGATTTTTTTGTGCGTGGGGCGTGCTGCACGGAAGGGACTGAAAATGCAGGAACATCACATTTTATGGCAACTTGTGATTGTGTGATTTCGAGGAGTATGGTGCAAATGCACATGGGCAGTGGGGAGATGATGGGTGGTATGCAGCTTCGATGGAACAGGACTGGGTCGCACATGCTGTTCGCACCAATCTTTGTGCAAATGAAATTCCTCCATCAGTGCAAGCTGTCAGATTTCCTAATGTTACATGTTGTTACATCGCCTTTTGCAGGCTATGCATGCTGCTGCGCTAATGCAACAGCAGTGGTTTGCCGCTCACCAGGCCCAGCGAAAGGCGCAGAACGCCGCGAAAGCTGCAAAGCGAGCGCTGGCAAGTCTCCAGAAGCTGCAGCAGGACAGTTGTTTTGTTTTTATTTCCCAGGCATATTCCCTCCATTGACTGCACACTGTCTAAGTTTTTTGCAGTGAACCTTGTGCTGCAGGACATGGCGACCTCTAGAAACACCCAGGCGGCAAATTTCTTGATGCGGCAGAAGATGACCGGCAAGGCCCTCCTTGGAGGACTGCATTCGCCCATTGCAGTCACCCAAGTCCCTGATGATGGCGAAGAGTTTGATGAAACCACAACAATTCAGCCAGAGCATGTCGCTCGTGAACCTGGCCTTCATGTCGCGGACATGGGTGGTGATTATGAACACACCTTGCAACTCGAGGGGGATGGCTTCGAAGTGGAACATGGGAATCTCGATGAGTGCGAGCCAGATCAGGAGGATGATCATGGAGACATGCAGCAGCCTGATGACAAGACACTTGTTCCGGATGACCAGCCCCATGAAGATGAATTGGACGATGAGTTGCAGACATTGCTTCAAGATGATGCGACTGTTTTTCCGGATGAAACGGAAGACTCGCAGACACAGATGCCTGTGGATGATCCACTTCAGGGTCATCATTTTGATGGCAGTGGTGATGGTGATGATGCAGTGGCGCGTGACCTTTGGACAGATGCTGAAAAGCGTATCCAGTTGCCTGGCATTGACATGCCAATTGGCGCGCGTAAGAAGCGTCGCACAGCCTGAATCTAGGCGTCCCTTCTTCAAGTTCATGGCATTTTGTCAGTGGATAGAGCTCAATGAAAAAAGCGTGCAGCTTCATGAAGCTGTGATTTTTGTCAGACCAAAAGATGCTCGATTGTGTTGGACAGGATTTCAAAGTTGTTAGCAAGTAGGGGTTGTGACTTCTGCTCATGCCAGGCTGCCCCACTATGGTGCATCAGTGCAGCTCCTATTTTTTTGAAGATCTTCCACTTCAGATTGAGCAATTCAGTTTGTAATGTCAGTGTGACAGGTGTTTTCGTCAGCTTGTGCGTCTTAAGGTCAGACTGCTTGAATGTCAAAGAGACGCAAGGTCCTGACACAAGGACTGCCCTAATTAGACACTTGTTGGTACGTTGCAAGGGGTGGTTTGCGCATGTGACTGTGCAACATGGTTTTTGCATTCATTCATTACAGTTTTAGCTTAAGAGTGACATGGGCCGGCCACTACATATGCCATGGGCCGATCCAAAGGGATCGTTGAAGGTCACTTGGACGCGTCAGAAGTTGCAGAGTTGGCCAAATGCATCACTGACAGCATGCCGGCCGAACACAAGGGAGTTGTAAGTGTGGATGCTACTAAACTTTTTGGAGCTTTCTCCATCAACAGTGCCTTGCTACGGTTGATTTTGTTTTGTAACCATTTTGCAGCGGATGTTTTCACGCATGACATGAGTTATATGCATGGCATGGAAATAGCCCCCAAAGGTCAGACAAAACCTTTCTAATCTCTGTGAAACCATATGGCAACATCGGTATGGGGGGACTGGCCGTCGCGCAGCGGCCACAGGTGTTGACTAAGGATTGACAGATGATGTGCCCTCCCTGGAGGGCGTGCATGCTGCGGTGGTGGTGGCACTTCTTGCAGCGGAAAGCAATAATAACAAACAGGGTCATCGCACCCTTATTATTTAATGGGACATTGAACACGACCATCATGAGTAAAAAACCATCATGACTCATGATCATGTGTAATTCCTCAACAGGGTCACTGCACCCTTAAAATAAATTAATGTACACATGTATCCAGTCACATATCCAATCAAAAGGACATTTCACGCACCATGGTTTCTTGAGATGATGGGCGACACCAAGGCAAGAATTTGTCGAAGGATTCCTCGATCAATGACTATAGCTGGGTTCTTCAGCCACTTGCGAAGGTGGTGCCAGCGCAACCGATTCATCAAAACAGTTTGTTCGAGATTATCGAAAAGGTTCTACCAGATTCACCAGAAGGTGTAATTTGGATGGTCGTGTATGATTTGAAATGAAAGTACTGATGCAGTTTCTTGGCGCGTACATGTTTCACAATGCAATTTTTGGCTTGAGATGTGTGACCATTTTGCGTTGAACATGCACCGACCGACATTCGAGGTTTGTCATTCGAGGCCACAGACTGGGACTGCAGAGTGGCCAATTTGGGTCAAAGAGCAGGAGAAGGTCTTCCAGCTTTTTCAGACAATGCAACGGTTTGATGACGATGATGATGAGTATGATGCCGGAAAAGCTTGGGGAATAGATGAAGCTTATTGGCAAAAATGTTTGTTTCAAACTTGTGTGCTGTATAGTTCCCGTTTGTGCTCGTCCCTTTGCAAGGATCTGACTTCATAAATCAAACAAACTCGTATCGCAACAAGTAAATATAAAATTCATCATATATATAAATATATATATATATATAAAATCAAAATGAAACGACGTTCGCAATCCTGATGTGACCAGAAAAGTTTGCAATCCGCTGTGGTCATTGATATTTCTTTTTGTTCAGCTCAAATTAATTTGAGTCGGGGGTGAAACAGCACAAACACAAGTCAGGTGTTTGGGAATTCGCATACAGGTCAACAAGTCATGTCGCCCGTCACCCCCCCCAAGACAAGGGAGGGAAAACGAAGTTTGGGAGGGGAAGGAAAATCAAACGGGTCAACGTGCAACCCACCCTCCTCACCCTAGCCAAAATAACACGGGACATAAAATCAAGATGTACCCAACTGAGGCCAAGGTGAACATCAGCATCTGAAAGATAAACAGATGAAAAAAAAACTCATAAACTTCAAACAAGTGACAAGTACTGGTTTACGAGAGACAGAACTCAAAACACGAAACGTTGCAAATACAAGTTGTTTCATTTTCACTTTTTTTTTGCATGCGGTTCGTTCGCGCGCTCACTACTCGCAACAAACAAAGGCAACAACAAGTTGAAGCCAACCGTTTGTGCTCGTCCCTTTGCAAGGATCTGACTTCATAAATCAAACAAACTCGTATCGCAACAAGTAAATATAAAATTCATCATATATATAAATATATATATATATAAAATCAAAATGAAACGACGTTCGCAATCCTGATGTGACCAGAAAAGTTTGCAATCCGCTGCGGTCATTGATATTTCTTTTTGTTCAGCTCAAATTAATTTGAGTCGGGGGTGAAACAGCACAAACACAAGTCAGGTGTTTGGGAATTCGCATACAGGTCAACAAGTCATGTCGCCCGTCACCCCCGTGTTTTCGACATGTTAGGATTTTCTTTGTTAGTAATTTCTGCTATTGTTTCCGGGGGCAAGAGAATGTCACCGGCCAGGCTGCCTCTCGTGATCTGCTGACACTCTTTCAGTTTGAACCTGGATGGCAAGTCGGCAATGTTGGATTCCGATGCCACCCTTTCGTACCATGAAGCCGCGGGGTGTTCAGCTTCAATATGTGACACTGCTCTGCACAAGTTGTACATTGTCAAAGACGGGCTTGACCCTTTGATAAGGCAGTATCGGGCAGCCTCGTTGTCAACGAAAAATAAAGCTGAAGCATTGGCAAGTTCACGACGGTAGAAATACTTCACGAGCAAAACTGCAAGGAGTTCAATCTGGCATATCTTCTGTTGAAGACCCAATGATGTCCAGTGTCGCATCAGGCCAGCGTCCACGACGCCCCAGTGAATAGCATTGATGCCAAGCTGCGGTATCATGACTACCGCTCCCCAAGTTCCTTGTTCCTTTTCAAGTGCTCCATCTGTGTATATCACTGCCGGGAAATCATTGCTCAAGTATCGTATCTGGCGTGGTCTCATTCTGTTGATGATTTCGCCGGTGTCACGGCAAAGACGTGAAATGAAAGCTGCATCTGTTGAACCACATTGCATATTTCCAAATTGTCGGGCCGCTGGCTTCAAACAACGCCCCACAACAAATCCGCCCGCGTAGTTCAGCAGTCCATGCATTGTAGCTGCCTCCGAGATTGATACCGTCCCTTTGTTTGAATAGGACGCAAGCATTTCCAAAATCCGTTGCACCCTACTTGGACGGTTTGCAACCGTTATCTGATTGTCCCAGAAACTTTCCAAATTAAATGAGACACCCAGCACCTGCATGGTGCCCGAGAAGTCCACACTCTTTTTCCCGGTCGTGGCATGCTTCCACCCAAGCAAATCTAAAAGGTGTTGCACCACATTGGTTGTTGTCGCCGCCATAGGGTCAAACTCCAGCATTGGAAAATCATCATAGAAAACAGTTGTGAGGAGGTGAAATTTGCGGACCAGTATCGTCCAAATGCCTCGTGTGATCTTGTTGAAAGCAAAGACGCTCGAAGTCGCCCCAAAAGGAAGTGACTTCGAAAAGAAGAACTTCCACACACCAGTCTCGCTTCGCACCCCCAGAATGCTATGCCTCGCCGACTGTGGAGCGACGCCCACTTGTTTGTAGGCTTTGCTCAAATCAACGCCTCTACCCAGCAGCAAGGGTTTGTCGTCGTAGTCAGAGTGTCTCCTGCCAACAAGATGGTCGCCGCCAGAAAGCTCGATGTCAATTGCTCCATCCCCGCAGAAGACCCCCAACATAAAGGCCAGGAAGCAGCTTATCATATCCGTGTCATGTAAGTCAAGGTGAGATGATGTCCCAAAAGCCGCATTCACCCCAGAAGTCTTGTAGTTGTCAATGACACGTGGCTTGAGGTCCTCCCCCTGCAAAAGAAGGAAACGTTGGGACATCGACCAGTCCGGCCTGCCCAGCATCTCAGTTACCTCGTCCTCAAGAAAGGGGCCGTCCAAAAAACCAGCGTCAACCTCTTTCGTAGTTTCGTCCATCAGCTGTTTTGCATTCCTGATTTCGTCCTCGGTTGGCGGCTTACCCATCAGCGCTTTCCGGCGCCACAAGGCGCTGTGATCCAGTTGCTGTGTCGTCATTGACGGTGGGTTCCAACGTTTTTTGTACAACTTGCTTTCGTCTTCCCATCCAGTGAGCGTGACTCCTTCACGCATGTATTGTACAACCTCCATGTCTTCAAATCCCACAATTGTCAGCAGTTTTTCCCAAAGCTCAATACGTTTCGCCTTTGTGACCTCGGCCACGTTCTTGTCCATCTTGATTTTTGCCAGCTTCTCCGCAAGGGTCAGGCGCTTTGCAATGCCAACACATTCGGACAACATGTTTATACGGTGGGAAGCTACCTCTGCCAGAGAGTGCGTTGCCACAAAGAAAACAGCCCTCTTCAAATCATCAGGCACCCCTTTGTGGGTGAAAGCCGGGTGATGTAAGCTTAACGCCTTCTGCAGATGTTCTTGGTGGTTAAAATAAATGCCCACCTTGTATCTTTCTTCGGATCCCTCGCCATCATTCCCCCTGCGTCCCAGGCGAGCCAAGAGTTTGTGAGGGCTCTTTGGAAGTGATGTTGTGACAGTGATGAGGGCAAATTCAGGGATCAATTGGTCATGGCCTTTCGTTTGGATTGATTGGGCCATCAATGACTGCAAACGGAAAAAGTTTGATGTGTAATCCAAATCATGCTGGGTAACCAGTGTACTGGCACATTCTGCATATCGCTCACAAAACAACATGGGGTACTGAGCCTCCGCAGCTGTGGAGAAGATCCATTTATCAAAGCCGTCAACAATGGTCCAAGGTTCATGACTGTGCGATTTGTCGCACATAATTCCCAGTGGCGCAAACTTCTGAGTTGATGCCAGCAGCCTTGTTGACTTCGCTCTACTTCCACCATGCA